TTTTTTTCACTCACTTTATATTTTTCTCTATATATATATATATATATATATATATATATATATATATAATTCTTTTTACATAAGATTTTGATTTCAAACGCTGTTATTTTAAACTTTCTATTCATAAAAAATCCTGAAAAATCCATAATGTGTTTCAAAATATTAAGCAGCGCAACTGTTTTCTGCATTAATAATAATATTAAATGTTTCTCAAGCAGCAAATCAGCATATTATAATGATTTCTGAAGGATCATGTCACACTCAAGACTGGAGTAATGACGTTGAAAATTCAGCTTTGACTTAAAATTACATATAAAAAAATATTCACATAGAAAGCAGTTATTTTAAATTGTGTTAATTTTTCACAATATTACGGGTTTTACTGTATCACATCAATGCAGCTTTGGTGAGCATAAGATATTTTTTGTCTAGACTTATGTTTAGAAAGCTACTCCTGAGAAGAATAACATTTATGTCACATTATAGAAACACAATATATTAAGCACATCAGAATCTGATGTAATGAGTGTATTATATTCTGTGATTTAAATAGCACTGTAAGACACATCAAATAATTTTTCAGCGTTGTTTAATTTAACTGAAATTTGGCTATATTTTTGGCTCCAGCTCATCGCCTTCACAGAGAGCTCCAATTAGCTTCAGAGAAGCCTGTTCTATTCTCACTCACCTCTACACTCCAGCTCTCCATGGCTGGCCTCGAAGCCCGGCAGGCAAGTGCAGGTGGTGGTGGGCTGGTCCACCCACTGTCCATCTTCTCCACAGAACATCTTGGGCGGTCTGGGATTGGGTCCAGGCTGCGCTGCGTTGGCCACACACTGGCCCACTGCCTCCTGGACCAGTGAGCGTGGAACTGTCTCCGGGAAGACGGATAGTGAGCGCATGAGAGCCGGACACTTCTTAAAGAAGACGCGCACGGATAGAAGGGCCATGCATGCGCCCTGGGCCTGGAACGCCAAGTAGAATCCCCGTTTGGTCAAAGGGCCCAAACGCAGCGTTTTGACATTAAACTTCTTCTCTCCACCTTTACGCAGCAGGAAGTCTGCGGCCACCGTGTCCACCTAATGGAAACAGATATACGGCAAAAACTGGTGAGATCCATAAAAGAGAAAAATCACAAAGGTGATCTTTTACACTTGGATTTTTTCCATGAGACAGCAATGAGACTAAATGTGAACACCTCAACTGACCTCATATATATTCAGTGTTTTCCAGGATTGAGAATAAATGGAGAGAAAATTAGAAAACAATCAAACAATCCAAGTCTTCCAAAGCCCAAAGGACGTGGTATGCTATCGACATTTTCATTTTATAGATTTAGTTTCACTGTATCCTAAAATTAAATAGAATTGCACTTAATTTTACAAAATTTGCACTTGTAATGTACCTCAAAAAGTTATTTCTTTTTTAAGTACTTCCAGATAATATATAATATTAATGAAATAAAAGGCCACTTAAGTGTACTTGGAATACACTTTCATAACTACAAGCAAGCTTTCAAAATATATCAAAGTTTTTCTTTAAAGCATATTTTAAATAATTGTTTTAAAATATATATGTATCAAATATATATATTTGTCATGCTTTAAAGAAGTACACTTATTTTGACGTGTTGAATAACATGCTAAAGAACATTTAAGGTACTTGATAATGTTAATTGATATTGCATTTAAAGGTAATATTATAAATGTACTAAATTTCAACTTCATTATGTGTACTTACAAATAAATTTAAATACTTGACATACAAGTTTCAGTAGAAATTACAATTAAGTATTTTATTTATTTTATGAGAAATACTTACGTCCTTACGTTAATACTTAATCCTTCAGTCCTTACGAAGTGGGTCAAAAAAGCAATCTAAAGTTTAGCGAACTGCATTTAATATAACTCTTTAAAACATTTTCATGTAATTTCAAGAAACATTTGAGAATAAATTGATATGTGAATGAGATATAACCGAAATCTATTACATTTTCCTTTCAGTAACATTAATAACATCTCTTATTTCTACAATTTTCCATGCGTATTCGAGTGCATATGATTGTCTGCATGTGTGCACCTTGGTATAGGGGTTCTCCATCCACGCTGGGTGGGTTGCTGTCGCGTCATCCGTGTCGCTCTGGTAGTAGTAATTGCATTTTATGCACACTTGTAGTATAATCTTAACATATATAAGTAAAAGTATATTTTAAAAAACTCGCATTAATGCAGTAAAAGACCACTTAAGTGTACTTAAAGAGAGACACTTTCATTACAGTTTCTTAACACACTTAAAGGGATAGTTCACCCAAAAAAGAAGATATTTTGAAGAATGTGGGTAACTAAAAAGTTGTTGGTCCCCATTTACCAAAAATACTATGGAAGTGTCAATGGCTACCATCAACTGTTTGGTTACCAACCTTCTTTTTTTTCAACAGAAGAAAAATTAAATGACCGAATTTCCTATACAAGTACAGTTTAAAATCAACTTTCTTTAAAGAAGTACACTTATTTTGATATGTTGACTATCATACTAAAGCACATGTTTTTAACTAGCATGGTTTCAAAAGCAAGATTTCCTCAGTCCTCAGCTTCACCACAGCATTTGTTTTTGCTGGTCCACTAGCAAAAACAGCAGCGACCATTAAAACCCATGGAAATTCATGTAGATCTGCTGTTTTTTCAGCACGGTATGACACGGCAACATCTGAGCAATTACATTTTTCCTCCGAGCGCACAGAGGGCAAGGGAAGTTCCCTGAGGTTCGATGGTTTGGTTATCAAATCACGGCCAGCAGAAGCTTTGGCAAAAACAAATCTAGAAACTATGGGTGTTTTTCCCTCTCATACCGACTTGCATAGCTGCAGTATCCCACAGGGAAACTGACGGACATGGGAACAAGGGCACAGCCTAATTTTACACTTGCACACATATACAGCGACAATACAAAATCACTATATAGAGTTTCAACCCAGCGGTGAATGATGGTCATTTAATTTCCAGTGAACATCCTTCCTTTCATCCATTTCCACTCTCTCTCTCTCTGCTCTTGATTGCGTTTTTGCTTGAACTGGCTGTTGGTCATTACTTATTGATGGTGGTGATGGGTTTTAATCAGGCATTCATTCAGTCACCCCCTCCAGACTTCCGTGCACATATCTGGCCCTGGGGTTCTTGCTATGAGAGCTGCGGTGGTCATGTGACCAACCGAAGGCACCGCACGGTTCAAACCGGCTCCAATCACAAAGATCCTTTGATCTAAAAATACTACCACGGAATATATTTCTCTCTCTCTCCTGCCGTTATTTGTTCAAACTCCTTTCTTATCCTCGTCTCTAAGGAGGAACACCTTTATTGCTCTTTTTTGCATGCGCTTTTCCCATGAGTGTAAGAGTTTAGCATACAGAGATGGAATCGATGCGTTTCTGTCTGTAAGTATCTGGGTCAAGACTTGTCTTGGGGACTGGAAGTTTCTGCGGGTTCATACCTCAGAAAAGCATCAATGACATGAAGAAAAAGGCATTGTTTAAGCACAGATGACCTCAGGGAGAACACTGGTTATGTTCCGAATAGATATTACACACTGTGCAGTATATACTTTATAACGTCTAACATGTAAAACAGTTAACAACTTCAAACTTTTGTATGCTACATTGCCGTTACATGACATTACTATGTTAAATGTTTAATTTTGTGAATAATATTGTTCATTTTCTGAAGTCGCAAAGAGGCTGAAGTAGCAACAGCACTTTTTTTTTTCTTTTGGTATTGTGATGTACATTCGAATGAAATGTATTTAAAAAAATAAAAAGTAGGGCGGGACTTAGTTCTATCTGATTGGCTTGCATTCGGTTTTAAGAAAGAGGCGGGGTTTAAGCAGACTAAGTGATTGGAGAAATCCTGCATATGTCACCAGAGAGAAGTCTGTCATTTCACTGACATTTGACATTTTGATTAAAAATTATGAGGTTAAAAAAAAAGAAAATCAAATATATGCATGGATGACTAGTTCAATATATCAATAAGAAGCATTTAAAAAAACAGATAGACTTAAAATCCAGTTTTATGTAAAATGTCTTTACTTTTGGCAGCTCAATTAATAATAATAATAATAATAATAAAATAAAAAGCTTCTGTCAGTTTGTCACACTGAAATTCGAAATTAGTCAAATTGATGGTTTACAATGTGCACTTTTTATTATTGTTAAACCATAAAGTTTAAAAAAAAAAGAAAATCAAATATATGCATGGATGACTAGTTCAATATATCAATAAGAAGCATTTAAAAAAACAGATAGACTTAAAATCCAGTTTTATGTAAAATGTCTTTACTTTTGGCAGCTCAATCAAATAATATATATTAATAATAATAATAATAATAATAAAATAAAAAGCTTCTGTCAGTTTGTCACACTGAAATTCGAAATTAGTCAAATTGATGGTTTACAATGTGCACTTTTTATTATTGTTAAACCATAAAAAGCAATTTCATTGTTTGAAATAAAATAAACATGATCTGAAATAAAATAAAATATTAAAAAACCTATTTCATTTCTTCTAGTTGCCAAGACAACATTTTTAATTTTAGTTTAGTCAAAGTACTATAATAGCTAAAAAATAAAGAAATGCAAATTAAATCTAAAACTTAATAAAAATGTATTATTTAAATTTAATAAAATTAAATATTTCAAAAAAATTAACTTATTTCATAATATTATTTCTTATCTTCGTCTAGTTCAGTAGAAGTGCTAAAATAACTCAAACTAAAAACTCAATAAATACTACATAAACATAAAAAAACGAGTAAAATGAAAATTATAATAAAATAAAATTACAAAATAAAAATAAAATAAAATTACAAAAAATGAAAACACAAAATATAAAAATGAAATATTTGAAATTTTAACAAATACTTTAATATTATTTATTAATATGATAGTAACAGTAGTCTCTGGCTGTATATTCAGCAAATGCAGTATTTCATCCGTATTTTGTGTGTACAGAAAATTAGCATACTGCATAAACATACTGCAAGACTAGTATGAGTAGTGCAGTAGTACACCACTGCGACACACCCGGTGAGCCTCTATCTGTATGTATCTGGGTTGGAACTTGTCTTGGGGACTGGAAGCTTCCTGTTGTTGGTTTTCACCTCAGAATCGAATCAATATTCAAAATAAAAATCAAAACTCTGTATTTGAGCGTGCAGGGCCGCAGGGAGAACACTGGCAGGTGCTCTTTCTCACTCAGTGACACCTCCACACGCTCCTCCCTAATGCCATCCATCTTCCAGACATTTCTCCCTCTCGCCTTCATTATTCTCCCCATCACTTTTGCTTTTCCTGCTTTCAAATTTCACATTCCTTTCTAGCCATCCGTCCGTTTCCATTTCTCTTCTCAATAACTCCATATGTCCCCGCCACACTCTTTATCTCCATCCCTCTCCCGCCTCTGATGTGGAGAGGCTGGGGCCGGCTGATAACCGCCGTCCAGCTCAGAGAATCAAAGCGAGCGGCGCCCGGGAGGCCGGAGGGGAGGATGAAAGAGGGATGAGAGGGGAAGAGTGCTGGGCAAGGGAGGACACAGGGCGGGAGCTTTTGGAGATGAGAACAAAAAAAGAAGGAGCTAGAGAGAGAGGGATGAGACAGGACAGATTTCTGACGGTGATTTCCCACTGTGAGTTTTGCTCCGAGTTCAGAGGGAAAACTAATTACAGACTCATCTACATTAAAATGCACATGCACACATACAGGTGAATCTCATGAAATCTGTTGAGAACGTGCTCAGGTCATATTTCACCCCACAAAAAAAAAGAAATTATATGTTACATACTTTTTATTTTTTAATTGAGATTTCCATGAAAATTACTTTCCCCTCAAACTCTCATTAGTGTAATTTATACAAAAATATTTCCTGTTATCATTACTATTATTAAAAACAAATATTAATATGAATAACTCTACTACTGAAATATGATACAACATTGCTGTTCATTTAAGCTGATATAAAATTAAATATAAATATATTTTTTAATTAATTTCAGTTTCAGATTTTTTTAGATCAAGCAATTTCAAACAGGAAATAAATAAAAAATGGGGGGGAAAAACTCAAATTCAAAAAATTCAAAAGTAACATAAGTAAAAAACATAAAAAAGTCATATTTAAAAAAAGCAAAAAGCACAATAAAAAAATAACAATAATTAAAATGAAAACTGTAAATATAAATACTGTTTAATTCAAAATATTAATAAAAATAATAATAGTATAGAAATAATATTAAAATAACGCTGTTGAGAATACATCATGAATTATATTTTGTTTTTATAATTAATCGTACTATTTTTGTTTTGTATATATTTATATATTGTATTGTATTATCTGTATTAGATAGATAGATAGATAGATAGATAGATAGATAGATAGATAGATAGATAGATAGATAGAATTCTGAATGCATACATCCTAATGGTCCTAAAATAACTTAAAAAAATAATAAAATACAATTATATAAAATAAATAAAAAGTTTAATTTTTTTAACTTAAAGTTATTATTTATTTATTTATTTACTTGTTGGTATGAATTATGACCTGGAGATTCATCCATGAAGCTTGTGTATGAACACCAGGTTAGTGAAGAACTACGGTGTGTGAGGTAATAGATTATGGTCTGTTACAGTGGGGGGGGGTGTGTGTGTGTGTGTGTGTGTGTGTGTGTGTGTGCCTGTATGTAATTACAGTGGTCTATATCCTGCTGTCTACTCTATCATTACTTATAATGGGCCAGGAAAAAGTGTGTTTCTCCTTACGGCTTGTCTCAAAAAATAGGTTAGATTAGATACAGTGAGACTCTAAAGTTGACACCAGGATTATCACTCACCTGACACACACGCACACACACACACACACACACACCTGCACATCTGTCCATACGTCTCTGGCCTGATATCATCAGTAGCGGCTGCTGTTCTGATGGATTAGGCTCCCGGTGGGCAATTTTTGTTCAAGCCTGTTTTTTTTGTTGTTGACCCGTTTAATGCAGTGCTCCTGCTTAGACACACTGTACTGCATGGCTCTCACACGAAATATAACCTAAATGCACTTCAGTGATAACTCTGCAGCAAATTCACAAGTGAGACTTTTACATCTCGGCTGTGTCTCCTATGAAGCAATGAGATTAAATGG